CGATACTCGCCACGCAAACCAGGCTTTTCGCTTCGCCTGCAGAAGGCGTTGTGTCTCCCCTTTTAGCCATGAACGTTGCTTCCCAGCTTTTGGTGTGACTAAAGGAACAGTGTCTGAGACCGCCTGGTGAATGATCTCCTTTACCACTCCCCAGTGTTCTTCTACTGTAAGCTCTGTCCAATTTTTTGGCCAATTTGCTTCAGACAAAAGTCTTCGCATTTTGGTGTAATTGGTTTTGTTATAACACGGATAGGACTGTGTATTGTCCCACTGTAAACGCTCGTGGAGGACTATGTCGAATAATATGACCGCGTGGTCACTTTTACCTATGGGAGTCGTGATATGAACGTTTTCCACTAGATGCCGGTCACTAGCGAGCACATAATCCAGTCTAGAAGACTTCCCATCTGGGCCCCATCTAGTATCCATTCTGACATTTTTAGTGAATCCGGCCTCCCTGATGGTATGCAGCTGATCAAGCTGTAATCAAAATAAAAATAAAAAATTTCGATCAAATCTATCATGGGCATAGCCCGTCATCAAGTTAAGAGATGGGGCATTGAAGTCGCCAGCCATGACAATTTGATCATAACCCATGTCTTGTGTCGCTGAAATTGTATTCAGCAGTACCTGGTTGTGGTCTTCTCCACATGAAGGTGATCTATAAATGCTGCCCACTAGATATTTACAGTACCCAGCGGTGAAATGGCAACATATGGAGTCAGGGAGCTCAATGAGGGGAGGACCCATTGCATGGACACATCTGAGGTGTTTGTCGACGTATATGGCGACTCCACCTCCTCCTTTCAGGTCCCTATCTCGCCTGACTAGGACCATATCATTTGTACTGACTTCGCCGTCTGCCACTGTGGGGGTTAGCCAGGTTTCCGTCAGTATTATGATTTTGGAGTTCAGCTGTGTTTGTAGGTGTCTAAGTTCAGCTATTTTGCCTCTTAGCCCTCTCACATTACTGTACAGGCAACTGGTAGTCAGTCTCACCACGTCCCCGTATTGGGGGGTGGTTGACGTGATATGGGCTGTCGGTTGAGGAGTTATCCTACGAACTAGTTGGCCGATCCCCCGGGAACCGGCGTGTTGGCGTTTTTTTCTTCTAGTTCAATCGGAGCACTTGGATGATACTGGCTATCATCGTCCGTGCTGCACCGCTGTATTGTGACTAAGGGTTGGGGATGTTCTTTGACAACGCTTTGTTCTCTCCTTTGGATACGAGGCCGGCTCTCGCAGCAGCGAATGTGTCTGCTGACCTTGTCCTTGGTCTCGTATCATCTCTGAAGAGCAGTAGTCAAGTGGCCTTGGGAGCTGAACTTGACAGCTAACAGACGTGGCGTGTTAATTGACATAAGGTGAGTGGGTCGAGGCAGTCTATAAATAGAGACAGCCCCTGAACTTCCCAGAGTCATCTGGGATGCCAACCATCTCCATTGCTGTACATCGTGACAGTGCTTCTTCCAAGCGTTCCCAGTTACCAATTTGGGAAAGCCGTGAACAACCATGGAGGCAGAAGGAATAAGCTCTGGTGACTCCCTCGCCATCTTTCTTTCCTTCCATGGCCTGTCTGGCCTAACACGTATATTGCAGGCCCTCCCTATAGAAAGGACTTGAGAAGTCAGCAAACTTTTTTCGACATCCTCGGTAGAGCCCAGTGTTACCCTCAGTGGGGGTGGTTTGCCTTGAGGAGCAGCAGTGCCCCTATACAATCTGCATAGTTTTACTGGTTGGATGTCCAGACTCAGTGTGCTACACAAGTTGGACCATTGTTTGTGATCAAACAGGGCCCTATTTTGCAGCAGACTACTACTACAGTCTGGTAAATTAAAGAGGATTACGCAGTTTGATCTACTAACCGCGGGCTTAGGTTCGGTCCTCGCACCTTTAAGACCGTTTTGTCTCGTCTGGTGCGACTGGATATTATTGTGTCTCAGGGCCGTGGCCACTATTACTGGCGGACCACAAGGGTCTTTTTCCAGTGACAAATACCCTTGGTGCTTCAGCCTCTGTGTCTGGAGGGGCGTTGATAAGGCATATCCCCTGTTTGAAGTGGCGCCTCCAACTTTATTTTGAGGACATTTGCGCGGTCTAGTTGATTTCAGTTTGGCTGATTTGTTGGCAGCCTGTAGACGGCCGTAGGTCATTTGATCAGCTGATGTCTAGCAGCTTTATTTAATGGAAAAACTTCGAAAATAGGTGATTTTTCGTTGTTTTACACACTTTTACACCTATATTGCTGCTAAAAGTTGATGTAATAAGGCGTTTTGAGCATAAACGGGAAATGATGGTGTCCTTATCCGGCCGTAATTTACGGCCAATTTACAAATTGTTGAATTACGTACTTTTACGTTCAGAAAACGTCGATTTACTTGAATAGACATATTATAACGACTTTTAGTGAATCTTTTTTGCAGTTTAAAGGATTATACATGGACATGATGAGGTGGGATAGTTGGTTTTGTTGATTATTTGATTTACTTTGTTGTTTACTTTTACTAATGCTGTCAAAACTCCTATACATGCATTTCATTGAAGTAAATCTACAGAAATGCTTAGAAATTATATACGCATAGTATTTACTTATATTATAGCATATACTTGATGTTTACAGGTAGATGCAATATCCATTTTTTCTTCCTGAAAAATATTGACTGATGTAATTGTATGCAATTAAACTGATTATTTCATCATTTTAAACATGTTAAGTAGTTATTTATTGCATTTACAGTGGTAACAATGTGTACATCTTGAGAATTCTTTTGTTCTTTTTCAGATAATATCCACTTTCGGGAATTTCATGGATTTGGGCGATAAAGAAAAAGATATCTGCCGTGTTGTTGATTATGTATCACATGTTTATTCATTAATAAATGTATTCCTCGTTATTCGTTTGTGTATTCTACTTGATAAAGCTGATTTGTAGCCTTTGCGTAATTTGTGAGGTACGGAGTACATGACGTGATCTTAAAAATGCTAGGTAAAATTAGATATTTGGAGAGGCTTATTGATAAAAAGACTATGTCGTGCCGTAATAAAGTTACTGCGTCCACTTGTAAAAGAAAATATTGAGGTTATAAGCGCTTAGTTATATATCGTCTTAGTAGGAACCTATTAATTGACTTCGGATTCATAGTTAAACAAGGTTAAAAGTAAATCTACCTGAGATAGTGAGCTTGCGATTTCTACTTATCGTAATAAACCAAGATGGGAATAATGTACCTATACTGATATATTTGCAACTCAGTGCAACTACGGTTATCGTAATAATTAAAAACAGAATGCCTACTATTGAAATACAATTTTACTTCATTAGAATACCTACGGTTCACAGCTACAGAACACGGTACGTTGCTATCTGTTCATGTAATCGCGTAAACAACAGTTTCCCAGACGCCGCATTTACTCCTAAAAGTTTGCCCTTAATTCCTAACTTAGCACGTGTTACTAACGTCACTGGAACACAACCGCGTTACAACAGAAGGAACACAGATTCATTAAAAAAGTGTTTATTAAACAAAAATTAGATTTGAGATGTACAGATAGTTCACATGAGTAGTCCTCCGTCACTGTCAGTAGGTTCCATCTGCGTACCAGCACGTATATGTTTCTCCATAAGCCTGAAAAGGTTTAAGAAAAGCATTATTAACTTAGGTGGTACATGTATGATCTGAATAAAAAATGTTTCTTCATAAGCATTTACAAGTAATCACTTCACAAACAATATATATATAAGTAGCTAAATAGTTTTCACTAAACTCAAGGGACTTCACAATTTATCGTCCGTCGATATCTAGTAGGTCCATCGAAGCATCATAAAATGAAAAACTATTTAACGACAAGTTATGCAATAGTTTCCAAAGATTGAACAAGGATTTCAACAAAAGTGACAACAGCTTTATGACAAATAATACGAGTTCTGACAGCATTAATAATAATAACGTTCATGTTCATAGTGACTATAAAAGCAACAATAGGTATTATTATCGCAACGAATTCATCATTAACTTAGATAGACAACTACTTATTATGCAATCATATCAATTAAATGTATCACGTAATCTTATGAAGCAGGTGTTTACTTACTTTCACTGCATTCTCGCAATACTGATGTGGTCAACTAGCTTATTCCAAATGAACTCAAAATTAATCCTGAAAGGGAATGGAGACCCAGTTGATTTCAACTAAAAACATGTAGCCTACATGTATTACACTGCTTACTGAGACATTTGATACCTGCTTTCCGATCTTCGTGACAGCAAAACAGTAAATGTAGGTTTACCTACATTTGATCTTGATATGGGATGAATTCATTGAATTCAGCAAATAAATCCTCTGGTTTATCAAATCTATCATGAGCTGTAATAGTATGTGCTGTCAATTATGCACCCGACTTGATAAAACGCTCCTGGCAATTGCGAACCTAACCAAGCAGTTAAATGATGTTTGAAATTACCGCAGGTCGAATGACAAACCGGCCAATCACAAGCGAGCAAATCACTTGTTTATCTCACTCGCGGGCACTCAAAATTACGGCCGTCGACAGGCTGCCTGATTTGTTTCGTTTGATCTAGGTAGCTGCATTTGACGTGATTCTGGTTTCTGTTTGGCTTGAACTGTATTGATTTTGTTAAGAATAGTCGTCAAAAGCTGCCTCTAGGCCTGAAGGCAGTTATGGTGCAGGAGGATACTTGAGAATGTGTTTCATGTGAAAATTATAGGGTGCACCTAAAATCCTCCTGTTTGTGGCGTCTCAACGATTTCTGTAGAGCTTCATTTCATCACTTCTGTCCATATTTGTCGTTCACGAGTGTTTCAGTAAATGTTTGTGGCTATAATCAGTAACTTTCCAAAAGGTAATTGTGGTAAGGAATTTATATTTATTTTCCGCTAGTTTCAAAGTCAGTGTCTCTTTTAATTTGCTTACTGTACTCTGTTGGCTATTCATGAATTTTTTATTAAAAAGCTTCTGTTTTCATTTACAGTGGTACCGAATGGACGCATTGGCACTTGGAGACAATGGCGACCAACCTGCACTTCCTATATCAGTGGATATCAAAAAACTTTTTGACGGAATTATGTTTAGTCACCGGTATACCAGTTGGGTTCAAGTAGAAGATGCTCTAAGTCAGCTGGAATCAGTAATATATGTATATATGTATGACAGAGTATTCCTAGACAACTCATACACATTATGTAATCAAAAACCGCATACGGGACCATGAATCTCAGGAGTTGAAGTACAAATTAGCAGTCTTTCGTTGTACATATGGCATGAAGCGAAAAACTAGAGGTTCAGGTTTACGCGTCAAACCGTAAGAATTCTATCATTTATTTCTGCAGTGCAAAATACACTGGTTGCCAATCTGGCTTTCGTATACGCTACAAGGAGGACGAGTTTATCATCTCTTCCGCGAAAACTGTTCACAATCACAGATGTGAACAAAGTCTTATGATAGGTGATCCATATTTCAGACGCCTGTCCGGGGATGAAAAGGAGAATATTGCACCAGTTGTGAAGACTACATCTGAGGTTGCTGATGTTTTGGAATACGCTGAAGAGAATTTTAATAAAATTTTGACGAGCACATATGTGTATAATTTACGTAAGGATGTGAGACCAGGTAAGTGATGTAGTTTAAAGTTATTTTTAAAGCCATGCCTTTGAGATCAGATGTTATGCGCATAATAAGGCAAAGCGGTCAGGTGGTTGAATACGTGGATTCGAATACAGGGATAACCAGCAGAATTTGCTTCGCCCTGGAATCACAGGTTCAGTTATATCGGAAATATGGAGAGGTGGTGTGTATTAACTGAACATACAATATCAATAAGGACGGGTAGGTTATACGTGAAACGGTTGACAAATCTTAATCAGATATCCTCTATTTCAGTTGGTGGTAACAGACAATATGGGTCATGGCAGGCCTGTTTTTTTGGCATGGACGAGACGAGAGAGGTCATGTGATGTAGCTTGAATATTGGAACAATTCCAAAGAATAATGCAGGATATGTCCATTACAGAAACTTTCGTAATGGATTCGGCCAACTGTGAGATATCCGCCGTGCGTAATAGTCAAATTCAGGCGAAAATCGTCATCTGTGCGTTTCATGTATGCCGGGCTTTCAGCAGGAAGGTGAGGCGTATTTAATTAATCCTTGATGCATTTAGACTCGAAATCCTTTTGTACGCAGGTTTTTATATCGTCTTGTTAAAGCTGCGACACCTGAAAGGTAAATGCATTGATTTCTAACCATTTAGATTTCATAAGTACCACGCACCAGAACCAGTTATGCCGATATTACGAAACTTCACCCCTTATACCGCTAAGTTAATTGCAAAGGACTATAGCCGTAATCGTCGGATGAGCATAGAGTTGTATACTGATGATATGGCTATCGTAAATGACGGCATATACCTGCACCAAGTGGATTATACCAATTCTACTAGTACCTGCAGAATGTTTAGGGCACAAAGAATACCTTACCGTCATATGCTCCTATGTCACACTCAAATTCCTCAGTTTACAGGTAAATCAAACTCTTACTAATACTTAAATTAATATTTTTAGTTGAAAAAGTAATTCGCCTGTGTCGCAGACAGTTTTGGCAGGATCCGTTGCTACCAAGTAGTGTGCCGTGTGAAGGTTCAGTGAAGAAACCCTGCAGGGAGATACTGCAACTTCGCAAGCAATTGAACAGAAGCTTCGCAGTTATGCAGGATAATTATAGTAATGAATATACTATTAGTGCACTGCGAGCAACTCTGAATTACTTTGAGAATTTTCTTGTCTAATAATGGAAGATGTACATACATTTTGTGTCAATAAATGCAAATATACCCTAACTTCTAAACTGCATACGCCTTATGCTTTACCGTTTCATGTGACAAAAGTCTAATAGTCATTTGTGAATATAGTAGAAAGCAATTTATAGAGAGCAAGTAGAAGTGAGTACTAGGCGGAATCTTCAGTACTTAGTATGAGAAGTAAGGTGAACTTTTTTCTTGTAAGTACACAATGAAAAGATAATGACGAGCTTTTGTAATTAGCATTGTATTTACTATGTAGGTAATGTTATTACAGGCATACGTTGCTATAACGTGTCTAGTCTTGGATATCGCTGCATCAGTAACACCCAATGGAGCGTTTTCCAGTCAATAAAATTTCGAAGTGTCGTACGACAAACTTCGCGGAAGGTAGATGAAATTAAAGGCTGCTTCCAGGTGATGCGTACAGCAGCATCTTAGGCAATGTCTACAAAAACGTAAATAAGGGTATAAGCAGATTAACACTGCAGCGAGGTGCAACAGTAATAATAATTTTCTTTGTTCGAAAACAGTATTAATGTTACAGTGTTGAATTTGCAGCATCTCGTACATTATTGTATCTAATTTTATGAAGTAATATTCGAAACAGTTGTAAAGATTACATTACAGAAATTGACAAGATATAGAGTTACCAAGAAAGACCAGAGGATATAACAACTCCGGGGTGTTTCATGTTAGACTTAGTTTATGTTTCAGTGCCCTCTTTGATACAAGCATCTTGTGAACGATGCAGCTTCATTCATATACATGAGTATTTTAGTTAGGCGTATTACAGGTTTAAAAAATCACCCATCTCATTCACTTCTATTTACACTAATTCTTATGTCCGTGACTTTTGGCCAATGTTTTCTTCAGTGCGCTTTATCTGGACAATTTAAGGAATTGGGAAATGCATGGAGTACTTAAGAAACGGCATTCATAATTGTTCGAGCCAGTTAACACTGTAGTGAGCTGTGACACTACGCATCTGCAGTGACAAAGCTGACTGACTGAGTTTTAACATGGAACTCAGTAGAGAAGTGCAGCAGTTCGATTTGTTACATTCCACACTTGAAAAGTATTATATTTAGTTGGTAATAAGCAAAACATATTTCCTCAGATGTGTTTACACTTAGCTTACACTAAGTTGACAAGACTGTTACCTGGCAAGTCCCTGAAGTGAGTGACAGACAATTCTGTCAATACATGTATGATGAAAGTGAACTAAAATAAGGACGACAGTTGTAGAAATGAGCCTTGTGTTACATCCCTCTTGGAAATATCAGTTCCCTCATAGTTTAGTTTCAATATTAAGTGAATGGAATGCAATCTACAGATTCATGAAATTCACATACTGACGTACTACTTTTCTAGAATCATAGTTAATGCCCCCTCAGTAAAGTGATAAATGGGCGTTGTACTTGTGTAAACTCAATGGGCTGTGAACCGCTGCCAATGAAAACGACAGAAATTCTTGGAATTATCAGTTATAATTTTAGCTGGATCACATGCAACATTCAGCAGTTGTTAAATGGTCACTTCATGAACATGCAATCCATACAGAAAGCGCAGAAGATTTAATACAACATGCACACTCCTGATTTCACTATGCAGCATGCACGGCAAATGTCGTTTTTTTCCGCGTGGTTTTCGTTTTTATTATTCTGTGTAGTACTCCCACTTTTCAGGATATATCCTTAGTGTCACCGATTACTAATACAAATAGAAATATTTGTGTTATATCTGAACTTACCTTTATAGTCACAGGATATTATCCTTGCTACTTTTACTGTTTCAGATTACTGATTAAGGTATTACCACATCGAGCATCTGACTCTCAGTGCCCATATTACTCCTGTCATTTGTTTTGACATAAAATCAAACAACCTAAGTCTCATATACTTGCAGTCCGACAGTTCTGTATTGAATTTATACAAAATGCCAGTTAAGCTATCGAAGCGTCGTGCTTCATTATCGGCTGAAAACTTCAGCAAAAGACATAAATCTAGCAAGCCTAAACAGCATGGCACTACACTTTCCCCTGATCTGACACAGGTGCTAAATATGTCAAAATCGGATATCATTACCTCTTCACCTTCTTGCGTTATAAATGATTTTATCAGGGATATTTGCAATAGTACAGGTTGTGAGCCAAGCATTTTGGACTCTTACCAAGTCACACTGGCTGTTAATAAAAAGCCTGACACTGGCTCCTCTGATGTGGTTGAATATACACCCTCCATTTGCCCTACTCAGGATTGTCAGTCAGAAGGTCCGAACACACATGTGGCCTCACTATCATCGATACATACTAATATCAAATCTTTTGACTGTGTCAAAAGAAATGTTAACTCCCCCAAATGCTTAGTAACCTTAGACGTTGACCTTGATAATCATTGCAATACACGGGCAGATTTACTGTCATCTAGTTCCATTCAATTGGATGCTTTTGAGCAGGCTACACATATGCCGGCACAGAGGGCAGAATGCAGCACCACCGCTACTGTTAACGATAAAGCCCCCCATCGCAAGAATTTCCATCGGTCATCAGTGACCCATGGACACCAACCTAATGCCAAATTTGAAAAAACAAATTGCTCTTTGCCTACGCAAAACACATCCAACCAATCCAATAGCCTGGATAGCACAAACATCCTTCCGTTACTCCATGATCTCTTACCCCTTAGGTATCTGATAAAGCCTGCTGACTATCCTGACTATGATACGCTACAGTCTTGTGAGAGAATTATAGACCATATTTCCACGGAAGTGATCAAGCGGGTTCAGTGCATGTATAATGCAATTGTTTTCAATGTGCCCGACAGTACGAACATTAAAACACTGAAAAACGCACTTCTAAAGGCATGCGAAATACCAGATTCCCACTGTACCTGCAAACGACTGCGTAAATCTTCAGCTAATACATCTTGTCCAATAATGTTCGAGTTTAATAGCATTGTGGATGCTAGTCGCTTTGTAAATAACCAGCATCTCTTTAGGAAAGCAAGTAGCTTTAAAAATGTACGTATTATTCACGACAGGACACCAATCCAGCGTCGTGCCAAACAAAGTATCCCAGCAGATGAAATAAATCACCAAAAGGATACAACCGGCCCCACTGATGTCAATACAAAACACCACCTAAACCTTAAAAGAAGTCCTCCACCTAGTGACCCTAAAATGAAGCTTGATATGGTTACCAATACTAAATCTAGTATTTCTCCAGTTGTTAAACAACCTAAAAAGCACTCAATTGCTGCAAAAGATATCAATAAAAATCCCACTCGCCATGCTAGAACTATCGAAAACCCTTGTAATATCTTCACATCTAGCTCTAAGATTCCGAATAAAAATGTAAGGAACAAAACTCTTATGCCTGGCATACACTCCGTCAAGCCTGATTCAGCGTCTCCTATTACTCATACGCTTAAATCTCCCAAAAGGACATCTATGGTATCAAATAGAACTGACACTAGTCAACCTATCTCATTCTCTTTTCCTCACCATTTTAATACAACCAGTTGCAGCTACCCAACTTCTACTATAAGGTTGCGTAATGCCGAATTTAACTATGCCCATATTCCTGGTGCACAGCGACATGGACTCAATCGCCTAAACTTTCAGCATAGCCTGCTTGGGGATCCACCCAGTAAATGCTACTTCCCCAGAAACACACTCCCCCGACACCAAAACAGTCTTTACAACTTTCCAACTAATCAATCCTCTCACCATTTTTTCTCTTTTCCGCACCCGGCAGTAATGCCACCAATCAACCTGATGTCAAACAGTCTGTTTCCTTACTCTCAAATGTGCCCTCTTCAGACACCCAGGATACCCCAGTTTCCGTATGCCTATCTCCATGCGATCGTGAACTGAGTGAT